GATGGGCCAAGGATCCTATCCAGTAGAGCACTGCTTATGTTTTTATCTTCTTATTGGAATCCCTGCTGTGACTATTTCTTGGCCTTGCCTACCTCAAAGGGCTGCCACTCAGTTTAGGATACCACTGATCATGACATTGTTTAGCAGTATCTGGTAAGATATATCCTTTCAGTGATTCCACCTCCTATATCCAGAAGGAGACTACTGTTCCTATTATCCGATAGAGTTCCATCTTCTCTCTCAAGCTGTTCAACATCTAGATGAAATTGCTGGGGGAGATCATTCAGAGGTTTGAAGTAGTATATCAGTGTGGATGGAACTTATGTGTATTGTTCCTTACCATCTAGCTCCAAGGATGTAATTCCATAATAGACTTGATGAAGAAAAATAAGCTAAAATTAAATGTAGACAAGACAAAGATACTGTAAGTAAATAAGAAACTGGGCTCAGGAATTGAGTTCAGCCCTTTTGGTTGTAGTTGAATGCCTCCTCTGAAAGGAAGTCTTAAGTAAAGAGAGCTAATATGGTATAACATTTAAAGTGTTGGACTAGGATTCCGGAGACCCAATTCAAGTCCATCCTACAACCATGGAAGTATATTGAGTGACTTTGGGCCAATCACTATCTCTAAGTCCAACCTGTTTCACAGGGCTGTTCTTGTGGTGGGGGAATGGATGTGGGGGTGTTATTGTCTACCTTCAAGGTAGTCCAGAAAAAAAGCACAAACCATGAGTACTAACACTACCTTTATTGTAAGGTTACAGTAACAGAATCTTGCAAGTCTGAAAGTATTTCTCCGCTTCTTTACTTTTACTTTCCAGAAAACTAGGGAGAGTCCCTTCTGAAACACTTCCCATGTGCTCTCTGCTTCTGTGGGCTGAGATACCTTTTGCATGATGGTTATCTAGTCTGTGGCTCTTCCTCCTGTCCCCCAAGGTCATTCCCACATACCATTATAATTATATATGCTGGTTTGAGCTTCTGGAGGACAGGCAGGATATAAATCTAACAAATAAATAATAGAATAGGTAGACACATATTTATCCTGGCTTTTTTATACCAATCCTGAATACTTTGGATCCCATGATGTTTTCTGTGGCATTATTTGTCACTATATGTATTTTGTTCCCTTGGCAAAAGCAGAAGGTGAGTGCCCTGCATTTATCATTTTGCCTATTTCATAAGCCCAGCAGACTTTTTCAGAGGCTGACCTGATAAACAATCCAATGAAGGAAAAATGGCAAACATGTTGATTAATGGCCGGACTCTGAGTTATGGATCAACCTGAAAGCCCAATAATTCAGCCTTACATTTTACTGATAAATTATCTCAGCAATAGCAATGGGATTGATTTTCACCTGAATGTGCTTAGAATTGTAGCCATAGAAGTAGTCATTCTGTCTTTCTCCGAGATAATAAAAAGGACTTACGATAGAAATAGATGAAGAAGTTTGCTGTGTATCAAACTAGTTTCAGAAATGAAGGTATAGCAAATATACCTTATATACTCCAAAAATATGGACAGACATAATAGGAGCAAAATATTTTAGTCTGGAAGCAACACTGTAATAGATCATCTTCGTATGACCACTCTTCAGTACTGCGGCATCTTGAGACTTCCAGGGAAGATGGCTGACTGAAGATGGCTCTGTGAAAAAGTAGAGCCAGCATCTGTGGATCTTTTTAAGGAGCTGGTTAGCAGATCAGCTCCTTTGATCCTCTCTGGATAAAAGAGAGAGACACCCAAACGATTGCCCAAGCTGTTTCTTCTTAAGGTTGTTCCTTTTCCTCATGAAGAACCACAAGACAGTGATCTCTGGTGGAGGAGGAGAATTCACCATATTTGCACTAGCTGCAAACGGAGCCTTTCACTAAGTTAATCACTAAGTTTGTGCACTTCCCTTGTTAACTACCTTTGGAAATTGCTATTAACGGCTTTAATGAACTTAGACACCCTCAAAGGGACAATGCTAAAAACACCTCGTGAGTGAGTACCTTCAAACCTTAGTTCAAGAAAATGAAGATTTATAGAATTTACAATAAACAGCAAAAAATAAGACAAGGTTTTTGCTACAGAAAGTTTTAAAAAGATTAAGGGCTCAGAAAACGTTGGTTGAACTTTAAATATTAAGACTTGGAAATTATTTTTAAAGAATAAATGCATGTTTGTGGGAAATAAATTATCATGGAGCTTAGAGATATCTTCAACTGAGATATCTACTCAGATATCAGATTCAGCCGGCGCGGCATGGCTAGGGACTTGCCCAGCCATACTTAGTCAGTTTCACCGCCCGAGCGCCAGCAAAGG